AAAAAAAAAAAATTAGTATATAACTACACTTGTCTCTTAATCTTTAAACAATAAATAAATGAAGATTGCACTGTAATTGGCATGTAAAGTACTGTATGCAAATATATAGTATAAATAAAAACCCTAGAAAAGAACTCTACCTTAACTTTCCCATCAACTTTGGCAAAGATGTTTTTTGTTTTTTTTCTCTTTTCTTTTTTTTGAGCTAGTAAACCACTTTGCTTACTGACACTTACAGGAGCAAGGCACAGCATAGACAGAGGACAAGATACAGCATCAAAAAAAAAAAAAGAAGAAGAAGAAGAAAGTGAGGAAAAAAGGAGGGAGGAAGATAGGAAAAAAAAAAAAGGAAGAGGGGCTAGTATAATGAGGATGATGATAGCGGATGGGGAGGATGACAGGAATAGATCTCCCCTCTGTAAGGCCTTATCCCTGAGGTACGTTACAGGCTGCCAATCAGAGCTAATCATTACCTCCGTCTCCCATCCTTCCTCCTCCTCCTCCTCCTCCTCCTCCTTCTCCACCCCAACACCCGACAAAAGTGGACACATCAATCATGCAGGTCAGGGTGACTTCTTTGGATTAGCAGGGTATGTATTGGGTTGTACCTTGGCTTTGTTGTTCGGGTTGGGGGTGTAAAAAAAAAAAAAAGAAAAAAAAGAAGAAGGGTTCAGGATTCAGACGGGAGGTCGGAGGGGGAGGAGGTGGTGTTACGTGTGTCAGAATGCCCTGTTCTGTTGAGTTGTGTTCTGTCGAAGGCTTGTTTGGTTAGTGAACATTAGTTCAAGTCCTCAGAGAACATGTCCGTCTGAGGAGAGACCACAGACTTGCTACGGCTCTGATTACATGTCAATAAAGCACCTTTTAATAGAGAAGAGAGAGAGAGAGGGAGAGGGAGTGGAAAGAGCAGAAAGATGGGATGGATCGAAAGCAAGACAGAAAGCAGCCAGAGCACAAAAAAAAAAAAAGTAATTACAGATAATTATGGGCAGGAGATGAGGAAAATAGAGGAGTCTTCAAATGTATCGATTCACAGACTAGCTGGAAGGGAGGAACAGCGTCGGCGCTGCTCTGGCTGACGGCTGGCAAAAAAAAATTCAGAGGAGAGGTTTGGGTAAAGCTCAAGCTAACTCCTAATGGCTTTCTTGGTTACACAGCTCTGAGAAGGGCGGCTAGCTGGCAGGCTGTTAGCACCTCTGGGTCTGTCTCGCTACGGAACATATCGCTACTAAAGCTACACATAAATAGGCAAATGGTATTTGAGATGGTAGAGTATGGAAGGACCGGCCGGGATGCTGAAATGCATGCCCAGCTCCAGCTCTTAATCCTAGTTAAAAAAACATAAAACAAACAAAAAAAAAAACAACTGCAACCACTGACGATCCCAGTCTGGCTTCCGAAAGCCGTTTTATGCCCAACATACGAATACCTACGAGGGTTCATATTCTGATCCGAGACCAGCGTTTGTAAGGGCTCCTTCAACCTTGTGAGCGAGCTGCTGAACTGACCTCAGAGCTGCTGTTTGTGAGCACCTACAGTCCACGCCTCCCCTTTTACACTGTACTTACATTGCCATCACTTATATTACATCACTTTTATAGCATTATGGATATTTGCTATAATATATATTTATATATATATATATATATATTTCAATATATATACTGTGTATATATATTAGATAACCGGTTTTCCATTCTTTCTTAGATATAATAAAAATCACAGGATAGCAGCATCTTACACCACACACAGATTGCATCACTTTGGTAGCGGAACAAGTGAGTGATTGAGTGTTAACAGTTGATGTGTGATTGACTTCTTAGGATGGCTAATGTTTCTTTGTAATTGTCATTGCATGTGTGTGTGTGTGTGTGAAGTTCTACACGCGTGTGCAGTTACGTCTGCACGTGCGTCCGCGCATCGGGAGCAGGAGCACGAACTGACCGACAGCCTGTAGAGTAGTAAAAAAAACTGAATAAGTATGAACAGCTAAAGCTTTGAAGGCCTACATTTGAATATGGCTGAATGAATAAAGACTGCAGCAAAAAAACAAAAAAAAGCAAATTAAACACTGAAAAATGAACAAAACAAAAAAAAGTAAGGCAATGACCGTCAAGAAATATACACGTTTTCTAATTGAATATGTTTTAAAAAGATACAAAAAAAAAAACATAACATGCAAGTCAGTCTGAGGAGCAACTGCTTTGCTCACAGCTATTTTAAGGCTTGATTATCAGTTTTTACTTTCCCAACCGAGGTACAAGGACAAGGCTTCCCTCGACAGAAATCCTTAACAAAGGAGACAGACGGTGATACAAAGACAACAGAGACATAGAAAGAAATGAGACCGAACTGAGTGAAGGCAGAAGACAACAGGTGAGAAAAGCCTGAATCGATACTTTGACTAAAAAAAAAAACAACAACAACAACAAAAAAAACATACATAGCCTTAGAAGTACATCAAGTGTTTCTTTTGATTTCATTCGGTTCTTTCATAGACGTTTTTTGAAAAGTTTTTTTCTGTGATTTTTGCTTTCTCTTTCTATCCTATTGTTAAAATTCCCTCACTTCATAAAGAAGTACTGTAGCAAGCAGGCGATGAGGATGGAGAAGCCCGCGAACACGCACACGATCAGCGCCGCGAAGCGCTCGTCGCTCGAAATCAGGCCCACCCCTTTGCCCGTCTCCATGGCGCACTGTTCCCCCGACGACGACGCCTCCTGGCGACGCAGCGTGAACAAGGAGGAGGGGCTCAGCGGTCCGCACAGCTCCTGGCACGTATCCTGGCAACGGCGGCAGGCTCCCACGCGGAAACGGTAGTCTGTGTTGCCCTGGAGACCGGAGATTTGGAACGCGCCCTCCTCTCCCTTAAAAACCTGCGAGAAGAAGGAAAGACAGAAGTTTTACTGCTAAGTTTTAAAAGGAAAATACTGTTTGTTTTGATCAGTTAGAACACAGACATGCAGGACTGGTACACAGCAACTCCAGGATACACAGGTTCTCATTTAACTAAACAGCACGACATGATGTCTGATGAATATGTGGCGGAGCGCTCAGTCAGCACCTTTTTAACAAAAGTGAGAATTTGGAGATATTCACACATTTCATCACCATCTCACAGTCAGAAAATCCACCTGGTTTTCTTTTCTTTTCTATCCTAAATGCTTTCACAACACCTTGCAGATTATGTCTATTTTTTCTCTTAGCTATTTAACGTCTGCGGATAAAAGGAAATAAAAGGACTTTATAAATAGATTCATTTTTCTGTTCTGCTAATTTTGTTCTCGCTAAATTCCTGTTCCTAATTTCATCAGAGTCAAAAGAAGACACAGAAGAAGAGTGAGCTCCCTCCTGACCCAGCATGTACAACAGATATTTTAAATACTAGAATAAAAGACTTGTCAGATGGCATAAAGTCACAGGTGTGCATCACGGCTAGACTGTGTCTTCTGGCAAATCAGTGACTCAGAATCGCTTTTTTCTCGCACAAAACTCGTATGAAAATCCAATTTCAGATGATTCATTTTTTAAGTGAATAAGGACAAGGACGAGCTATTCTCGCTGTGGTTCCAATCAAACTGATGGAGAAAAGAGAAGCTTACAGGTATATGTATTTCAGTTTTCAGGATAATAAATTATTTTATTTAACCGTCTGAACCCTTTGACAGGTGTGTTAGCTTATAAATTATCCAAAAATATAATAAAATAAAAAATAAGAAAATCATAAAATCTTAGCATTTATCATAAAAATGTAAAATAAAGAAAAAGAAAGAATCGTCAGATCTTCAACCTACAGTTGGGCCCTGAACTGCTCATCTTTGCTTTAAGCTGAAGCTCAAACTCGTGATGTTTCATCAAAATGTCTTTGCAAAGATTAAGATGTTTAGAAAAAACAGATTGTGGAAAAAAAATAAAAGTAAAATTGTAATTATGGACACAACTAAGAAGCAATTAGTAACTGAGCTGCAACCGAACAATCATGTGACAAAAAAAATCAGGGACTTTTTGGATGAATTGAGGCTGTGTTTACACAGAACAGAAACCACACAGCAAAAATCACTAAAACATCCATCCATCCATTATCTATACACCGCTTATTCCTCACTAGGGTCATGGGGGGCTGGAGTCTATCCCAGCTGACTCAGGGTGAAGGCAGGAGACACCCTGGACAGGTCACCAGTCTATCACAGGGCTACACTTAGAGACAGACAACCAAGCACACTCACATTCACACCTACGGACAATTTAGAATCACCCATTAACCTCAACATTTTTTTGGACTGTGGGAGGAAGCCGGAGAACCCGGAGAGAACCCATGCTGCACGGGGAGAACATGCAAACTCCACGCAGAAAGATCCCGGGTGTCCTCACCAGGACACGAACCGGCGACCTTCTTGCTGCGAGGCAACAGTGCTAACCACTGAGCCACCTTGCAGCCCCCACTAAAACGTAAAAAGTGAAATTCCTATAGCAAGTAAAAGCAGCCATTTTTCCCCTAATATGTGTAACAACTGTAGGTGTTTTGTAAAATGTTGGACACGTGATTTCATTTTGTTTCAATTTTTGTGAAGTAGAAATGCAACTTACATTGTGATTTATGGTATTTAACCTTTGTGATAATGCACAAAAGTTCATTTTTGCGGTTTCACGATTTCTGTTTCCATAGAGGTGCAGGACTTTATATGAAACATTAGCCTGCAGTGACTAAAAGTGCAACAGGAGCAACAAATACCCAGCAGCTGCTTGGGGTTCGGAGGGTTAACTGTTCTGCAGAGTGACTCTAGCTGGCTTTTAATCGGTTTGTCACAACATCAGACCTTCACAACACAGCTACTATGGCCAAAAGAGGTCACAACAATGATATTATTGTGATATATTTTGGAAAATTTGAAAGCAAACTTTGCATATGGCGTACTTTATCTCAAACATATGACTTTCAAAACGCATGTAAGGAGGCGGAGAGCAGCAGATTACAACTCCACTAGTGTGTAGCTGATCAAGAAACACTGTTTTTGCGTATTTGCAAGCAGCAAACACATCAGTGTAATCATATTTTTAAAGGCAGCAGCGGCACAAAGTGAAGACGAGTTTCTACAGAAAGTCGTACTGAATTTTCATTGCAGACATCAGACCCACAAACTAGTCTTTGTACGCGCTTACTGGAGAAATTAAACGGGAAAACACACAGACAGGGAGGAATACAAACATCTGACAAACAACCTCACAGATCTGCACCGACAGCTGAGATGTGTTCACATAATGCGAATCCCTCTCGTACACACATCCACACAGCTGCAGTTTTGTCCCGCTGGTGAGCATCAACACTATTTCCCTCTAACCGTTCTGTAATCCAATAACAGAAAGTGAAGCGGCCTCGAAGACAAACGACTTTTTGTCTCCTCGTCTGCTCATCACTCCAAATGGCAGCCTTCCATTCCAATATTCCCAAGTGCAGCCAAAAACTTTTTTTTTTCCCCCCCTCGGTTGCCTGCTTTGTAATTCTCATTAAAAAAAGAAATCCTTCAATACCTCTCAGTAAATACTGCTGGCACTGCAGATTACCTCCAATTTCAGAATGCTTTTTCTCTCGGTGTGGCGGGCTGTAATTGAGAGAGGCAGCATGTGTGTGTTTCTTACTCCTCCATGTGCAAATTCCTGCCTCGGTGTGTGTTTTATTCATGGATGTGCCCATTTGTGTCCATGTGTGCAGCTTCCCACCAGTGCAAACCAAATTTACCTGCCTCTCCGGAGATTAGTAATTTCCTCCAATAGCGGAGCACACTTTCATAAACATATGAATGAATGTAATATTAAATCGGGGCTCTGCTTGTCTCTCTGGACTCCTGTGTGCCTGTAGGTGTATGTGACAAACCTGTTTGTATTCCGACTCGCGTCCCACCAGCACCTGGAGTACGTAGCTCACAGGATCTCCTCTCATTGGTGGGATGGTCTCCCATGTGATCTCACACGTGTTCCCCTCCAGTTGGTGCACTCTGGGGGCTGTTGGGACAAACGACACCCAAACGTTATTTGAAACACACGACAGGATTTCATTTAAAGAAGCGGATGAGGTGTGTGTTTCCGAGCCACGCGCTGTTCACCGCTCAGTCCAAATTGTAGTTATTTGCAACCACCAATTTATAATAAACGCCAACATCCACCTCCCTGCCAGAATCTTACGCTTCATATCAGCTGGATTGGTCACAGCGGTGTTAATGGTGGTTAATGACAGCCTATTTAGACTAGCTGTGTAGCTACCGCACAAGGAGATAGATTATTCCTGTGGAATAATTTCCTTTTTCAGGGTTGACAATCGTTTTGGAAAGCAGTAATATCCTTTGGGAATAATATCTGTCTACAGGAAATAATGGAACGGCAACGATCCGACTCTGACTGCAATAATTGCCGCGTTAAACAAAACACACATTTTGCCAAACTCTTGAGATAACCGGGGACCTGCTTCTTTGATTTACCGCAACACCTCCGGCTCGTTCTGAATGAGTGCTAGCTGGCAGAGAGCCTTTCAGACGGCGAGCATGTACTGCTGAAGCTGCTCGGACCCTCGAGGCTGTTTATGGATGTGTCAATGCCGTGCTGCACATTTGTAGCCTCACAGTCAAACCCATAACACTCTCTCGTTATATCACCCGGGAGGATTCTCCATACTGTGATTATTGTGGCTATAATAAGCTGAAGCCTCTTTTTTATGTCACATATTGGATAAAATAATCAAGCAGGGTGACAGTAAACATCCCTAACAGCCAACAGAAACACATTTACTGCCATTTTTTGGCCTGTAAGAGGATCGCCCTTAAAAAAAACCATTTAGCGTAACTCTTGAACTGCTGGAGTCAGTTGAAACAAGTCTCCTGAAGTCCAAACTTAGCCGAGTTCTAACATAACTAGAGATGCATGTATTACTAGATTAATGCATGAAACTGGCTGCACAGTTTAAACTTGTTTTACAAAGTCATTTCTAACTTAACTGACTAACAAAGCGAGCTTATTAGTTCACCCTGATTGTCCACAACATTAAAACCACTGTCAGGGGAAATTCAGAGCATTGATCGTTGTGATGCAAAGCACTTCTGCTGGGAAAACTTTGGGTTCTTGCACACCCCTCATTGCAACGGCACTCCCAGATGGCAAAGATCTCACTCTGCAGGATAATGCATCCTTTAATTACTCATAAACTGCTCGACAGACATGAACCTAAAGGACAAAAAGGAACAGGACAGCTGCACCGATGGGCCAGAGCTGTTATGGCAGCATGAAGGGCATCTACACAAAGTTAGGTATGTGGTTTTAAAGTTGTGGCTGATCAGTGTATGACACCTTTACAGTGAAATAGGTAGAAACACCCGATAAAGCCGACACATTTGATCTGACCCTTGGAAATATGTTGTACAAAAATAACACACAACACCTGAAACTAGCAAACCTTAATTGTTAACCAATTAACATGTTAGGTTTTTATAAGGTGATAATATTCTACTACTTCCAAACTGCATGGATATGTATTTTAAAAAAGCTTATATTTGTCATGTAAACAAAAATAAGACACAGATTTACAAAACATTAGCAGTTAGGTCATGTTTTCCATTGAAAATGTCATAATAAAAAGTAAAGTTCCCTTGCAACATGTGAATATTTCCTACATTTATAAACTCTGTGCATTGTTAGTTTCTCTCCACATACAAGAATCTGTGCAATATCAGTATTTTTATTATTATTTTATTGATGCTTCCCACATGTTTGCCCTTTCCCCTCTGCTGCAGCACTTCCACCAATGTGTTCATCATATCTTAATGCAGTATTGGTTGAAACAATTCTTTACTCGCTAAAACAGTTTCACAGCCTGTATCTTGGTAGGGAAGAACAAATCTTACCTTTGAGGGCAGGTGGTACAGACTTGGTGGTGCAGAAGGTATGTGTGTCAGAGAAAGGACCCTCTCCAGCATCACTGATGGCCTGTATTCTGAAGCTGTAGCTGCTGGACTCGATCAATCGCTGGACCTTGTAGGTGTGACTGGGACCCCGGTAGATGGTCACGAACCTGGACGGAGAGCGGAACGAAGAAAGGCACTGAGTCACGAATGAAATCGGATGATGAAGGTGAGAATCAGGGTTGGATGAGACGGAGGGAGGGTCTGACGAACTCGGCCATGAGAGAACGACTGAGTCAGAGGAAAGAAAAAAAAAAGAGAGACGGCGAAGAGTGAAGCAAAGGTGAGGGAAAGGAGTGATGGTGCTATGAATAGCGTAGACGAAGGGAGAAAAACACATTCGCTCACAACAACTTAGATAACAATGCAACAAGAGCAGTGAAGAACGAGGCATCAACACTTAGATCGCACAAAAAACAACAAAACTTTTGGAAACTCGACCACAACTGGATTGACGCATTTTTCCAGACTTTCAGTGACTCAACACAATAGGCTCAGTGATGCATTTCATTCTGCATCCGCACAGGTTCAGCATATGCTACCTTGAGGCAGGGGAGAAGAGTGCATCTTAAAAAAAAGATAGCGGTGATTTATTAACGCGCAGGACAAATACTGACAGGTCAGAGCCACAAATCTAAAAGAAAATGAGCACCAAAAACAGTTCCTGGCTGGACTGATGGACAGATTGATGGACTGGAGGAGAGGTGATAAGTAGGGAAACGGGGAGGAAAGTGAATTTAAGCTGAAAAGGCTTTTCGGTTTTATCTCCACGATCAGTTTTTCACGAGAGTAAGTTAAAACGCTGAGCCGGGGAGGGTAGTTATGGGAGAGAGAGGGAATGACAAAGGACGGAGAGAGAGAGAGAGAAGGGGAAGCAATAGAGGATGTGAAGGAGAAGAGAAATGGAGCCGAGGGGAAAAGAGAGGTGACTGATAATTATAAGAGTCGGGACGATGATGGAGGATCTGCTGCGAGAGGAAAGAGATGAGAGACAGAAGAGAGGTCATGGTTTAGGAGAACGCTATAACTCCAGATGAGCTCTTTATGTAGCCGCACTACAGAGAAGTGATGTGTTTCTCCGGCTGATATATGGTGTTGTTAATTCTCGGCCTCACTGCGGAGAAATACAGTTCACCCCCATCGCTGGTGGAATTAGTTTAGTGGTTGGAATCTAAAGGGAGCTGAATTTCCCCCTTGTTTACTCACTGTTGACTCAGGTATCGATTGCGCGGCAAAGTAAAACGAATACACCGGCTTTTCCATCATCAGGAGTTACGGAAGTCTTCTCGTTGGGACGCGGCCGAGCGGCGGGATATCAAAACAATTAACACTTCAGACGAAACAGACAATAAACACTCTTGTACAAAAATCAGCAGGACGCAGTTAATGAGATGAATCGCAGCCTTGTTTCAGAGCCAAACAGTCAAACCAATTAACAAGGAGCAGAGGAGCTCAGAGAAAGAGAGCTTATAGCAGACATGGACATGTTCTGATTATTGCTATCCATTTCTTTCTTATTAATCAGAATGTAAATGATGACATCCTGCAATTGGACATCTTCTGCATTGTCCTTGAAAACAGTGTTTTCCTATAATGTGTAACTGTGATGGATTGAACAGATGCAAACTTCTAAAAACTTTGACGGTGCCTCTCCTTCATTTTTTGTTGCTTCTCAGTCACTCAGTTCTATCCATTATTCTTGTATTATTTCCAAAGCAGGTAAAACCTTGAAAGCGTTCCCACGAGACAGCCGTTGTCAAATTGATGCCAAACAATAATCAACAATTTTTTTGCAAATATCAAAAGAGAAATATGTTTATTTCAACTATTGTGGTTTTTTTTTTTAGCAAATTACAGAAAGTTAGCAAAGAACTTTCAGCAGTTTTAGCAAAACTAAATCATGATCAAAGTCAGTGTGTGGCTACTGTTTATAATTAAATCATAATAAATATGACCAGCTACAAACGATGTGGTTTTGTTTTTAGGTCCCAATATAGGAAACATGCTTTTAAGTGGTTGGCTTAAGCAATGAATCATGCATGGCTTCTTATTGATAAGATTAGAGGCAGAGAAGGAGAAACAACTTGTTTTCCAGGCTGCGGGGAAACACAGACAAGGTGGACGTGGACAAAAGAAGTGGCTACAATTATAAAAAAAAAGGGTAGAAAAAATGAAGAACAGTGATGGACATGGGCAGAAAGCCTTGTTGGGCGGATGAGAAGATGGAACAACTGAACTTAGAGAGGCTGAAGGACAGAAACAGAGATGGGTGGAAATGGGAAGACAAATGTCAGTAATGGGTGAATGATAGATGCTTTATTTGAAAATAAAAACCACACCAAAGCCCCTCATGTCTGTTCCTCCATCTGCATTCATCTTAAACAAACCCTTTGCCTCAGAAGGTAGAAGCCTTCGTTCCACAGCACTGCCCATGTTGCTATAAGCCTCCCTACAACTCCCAATATGCAGAAGTCAAATGAGAAAACTCAAACAAATTCAGCCAGCTAATAGGAGCAACAATGGAGCAGAGAAAAAAACAAGTGAGAATAAAAAAAAAAAAAAAAGCCATGAGCGAGGGTGGACAGAAAATGAGCAATGAGTCTGGACAAAAGGCGATAAGAATGGAAAAATAAACTGGAAGAGGAGGCAGAAGGGAGGAGAGCAAAGAAATGGGAGTCGATATGGTGGACCTGAGAAAACAGCTTTCTCTTTCATCTAATACACCCACACACACACAAAAAGACACGGCTGGGTGGGTGGGAGAAAAACAACCATGAAGAAAGGAGAAGGGGGAAAAAAATTATGAATGGGGCGCACATTTCCCCAGAAGGTTCTTCCCAGAGGTGAAGTCACCTGTCTGACAATGAGATGAGATAAATAAATATGAATTAGATCAGAGGGAAGAGAGAGACAGACGGACCAGGGGACGACCAAAGTCAAAAACTGAAATTCTATTTGAAGAAATCAAATCTGGATATTCGATATGTTTGTTTACAACGCCACACATTTTTACCATTCCTCGCTTTGTCTTCTTTCAAAGTGCACCTCCCAGCGCTGCTTGACGGGGCAATTTCATAAGCAATAAAAAACAAAACACAATCATCTTAATTCATTCTAATAGAGCGTGATGAGAGAGCAAAGAGGAGGAAGAGAGCGAAAGCCCGTGAATCAACTCCGGCTGATGATGTCCGTCTGCACACAAGCAGAGAAACGGAGGCGAACCGCTAATGCAGTCGCCAATACACCTGAACGTGCTGCGATAAACCGCCAGGAGCTGCAGGTAATGAATCCCAAGCAGAAGCAATTAGGTTGAATCAGTCGAGAATCACACGTCGTCATTACGGAGCGATTCAGTTCATCATGGAGCTCATAAACAGTCCTGAAAGGTTATCTTCATGTCTGTGGTCGCACAACTTTATCTTTGTTTTCATTTGACTCCACAAAGCCTGAGTCTGTATTCTTTAAAAAAATGTTTTATTCTAAGGTTCTTTTTTTGGAGAGCAAAGGCTTTTTCCTGCCGCTTTTCTGACTGCAGATGCATTCACTTTGACAGCAACAGGTGCAAGAGTTTCTTGCAAATACAGTGATGAAATCTGAGACGTACTCCTGCGTCAAAACGATTTGCACTTGAGCAGAATTTGCCGAGGCAGCCAATCGTGTCCGACGTGGCAGTCCTTTGAAATCTGCGCCACCAGCGGAGGGTTTTTCTTCAAGTTGAATGATTTATTTCAAACAATTCAGAGCTCTTTTCAAAACCCGTGCCAGCCTCATGGGCATCCACATTTTACTGTTCTGGCTTACATTTTCTGGTTAGCAACTTTGAATATAAAACCTTGATCTTAATTTTCATGTTCTGGACTCAACTGTTTTTCAATTGAAAAGAGAGAGAAAAGAGAGAGACTCTATTCAAATCTTTTAAAGTCTGGTTTTGTGAGAACAACACAGCCATGTGGAAAAAGCATCATCTCTGCTGCAGAAGAGAGCGAGAGGACAGAAAGCATTATCTCAGTAGCCCTCAGAGTCTATTATCAATGTGCAGGAAGGGTCACATGGACTCGATCGGGCGTATAATGGCGACACAAAGGATGAATTAGTCTCCAATTTAATACTATTCTTAGGGCAAATATATTCCTCTTCTCGGAATTGAAGGACAAAACCCACTCAGTGTACCATATTTCAACATTTTAAAATAAAATTAAAATAAATTTATGTTTTGCTAATGCAACAGAGGGAAAAAAAGACGACTCCTGGAAACTGGACAGTTGATGCAGAACTTCATATTAACGTTGGCTTAATCATCATTTAGCCTAATTAGGGTGGAGCTACGGGTTATTAAATATCGCACGCCTTATTAAAAGGCATAAAATTAGATGAATACAAAGGTTTCTCTCCAATCAGTGAAGCTCCCCTCACATAAGCGGGTTAAAGCAGAAGCCGATATGTTTCCCAACACGCCGTCTAAACCAGACACAAGCATATGCGCAACATATACAAACGCAGCCGAGCGCACAAACAGGCGAGCATACAGCCAGACTAATCACCGCGCCATTTAGAGAAGGGTAAATAAAACTCTCTAAACTGTGAAAGCTGTTTTCATTTGGCCGGCGGGCGAGTGTGTGTGAAAGCGTGCACGCCTCCGTGTTTGTTTGCGTGAGTTTTGAACAGAGGTTAACGGATCACAGCCTGCTGGATGGAGCCCCATCTGTTGCCTGCTGCACTCTGGCCCAGTCCAGGGGTTGCCAAGGTGCCCCGGGTGCCAACGCCATGCCAGCCAAACCTTTAATTCAAACACTGATAGGGGCCAACCAGACTGGTAAAAAAAAAGGGGGCTGGACAGATGGGAGGGAGCGACGCAGTCCGACAGGTGGGCAGATAAAAGTGACTCCTCGTTGCCATTCGAGCTTCTATTACTACTTTCATGTAGGAAAGATTCTCTCAGCTCTGACATTAACAAAAAAAACCCTCCTCTTGCCCTTTTTCTAGCATTTAACTCCCTGTAAGTGGTTATATTCTCTCGTCATGCAGCTGATTCTCTCTCCTTCCGTGTTTCTCGTTGCTCCTGACTGACCATGGAGGGTTGGTTGTAGGGAGGCTGGTTTCATATGTCCTCAACATGACTACTCTCAGGAACATCCAGCTACTGTGCACACAGAAAGACAAAGAACTAACTTCACACACAGCTGGTCTCCGTGGTGTGTGTGTGCAGTATTGAACATCTGGGTCCTGATTCGCTGTATTGACCAGCTATGGTTAAGGAGTCTGAGAGAATTGGTGACTGAGAGGCTTCGCATAATCTGAGGGCAACATCACAATTTCACCCCGCAGCTGTAATCGAGGGCTCTGTAAATAAAACTCCCGCTAATCTTGTCTCTGCAGGAGAGGCTCAGGAGTGATTGTTTCACCACAAACAACAAATAATACTTGTGTATAAAAAAATAACAGTGTCGTTACTGAATCGATGAAATAGGAAGTATTTAGCAAATAGTGCCAGTTTGCCTTAATTGGGTAATTTAATAGCAGGTTTTAGGTTATTTTAGCGAAATTGTCTCATGAATGTATGTAAGGAGTTTTATGTAATGTCATAAATAACGTGTAAACAACCATTTAGTTCTGCAGAAATGAAGAAGCCTGCTGGACGAGAGGTGAAACGTCCTCAAGAAGCTCTGAGGATTAACATGAACTGAAGGACTGAGAATCTACACAGATAATTTAGAAATATATACACATTAGGTGCGTTATGTACAGCTTGTCTTTATGGGGATTTCTTCCTGCTGTGCATCGTTTCTGTTTTGTGTTTAGGTTTAGTGCATCCTAAAGCAGTAAGACAGTGTGTAAGGCACGTAGGAGCTGATGCGAATGGCTTAAAATCAATCAACAAAGCATTTTACAAACAGCATGAACACAACTTTGACTGCAAGCTTTTATTGTGATGTGTATCTGCAGTAAGGCTTCATCTAAAAAAATCTTTTCTCAGGACAAGGCCTGGAATATAGTCAGCCAGAACCCCTTTTTTTTCACACTATTCTAAGAAGTAAACAATGACGTAAAGGCGGTGTAACTAGGTGTGTGTATCTGTGTGTGTTTGCACTCCACCTGTGGTTCTTGTCCTCCATTTGTAGTGTGTAGACCATGTCGTCAGCGAGCAGGGCGCGCGTGTGGCTGGCGTTCTCGCCCCACTTTAGCTTCAGGCTCTGAGGGCCGGCGGCGGAGCATTCGAGCGGAGGCGGGGCTGGGGGGAGGGGGCGTGTCCTCGCTAGCAGCGCCGGACTCGACGGACTGGAGCCAATGGCGTTGACCGCCTGGATCTGCACACTGAAAGAGGAAGCGATTATTACAGTTTGTTTGTTACACTGCAAAAGTGCATGTTTCTCATCCATCGATCCAAACCACATGGAGACATCGGTGGATTGCAACAACCAGAATTTTAGACAGAATGTGTGCAGGGATGACAAACACAAGCCAACAGGACACACACATGAAATTGGTGGGCTACACGCCACATACATTTATATGTACCATGTTGTCTAGTACACTCTCAGCAGACCTGTTGGTGTAATGGTGGAGTAATTTTCAGTGAGGAGGCTGATCTACTGTATTAGCTCTGACCTTGGATGTTTGTGTCAGCCTGTTGCCCATTACCATTCTCCCATCACTCCCCCCTCCCCCCCTCAAATGTACTGTAGCATGCTGGGAAAAAAAAAAAGTGAAATTACTCCGGCGTGAAGTTTTACAAGGACCTTTTTTTTTTTTTTTACATGGCTTAATGCATTGGAGTTATAACGGGAAAACATTTTTAAAGTGTCTATATTTCTATCCATGTGGGGTTTTTTTTTTAAACCCCTACTTGTGCACACACATGTGCTGCTAATTAACAAGAACCAGCAGAAATGGATTCCTGTTTTTCAGCCTCCCCTGCTGCCCTTCTTCTAGGAATCCCCCTCCCTCCCTCACCCGTTTTCTGTCAGTGTCTGATCAGCTGATTAGCATCCATATCGGAGGCCCCTCAGCTTGAGAACATCTATCTTTTGACATTTAATTGCTGATTCTCCACAACTGTAACCTTTCGCTATAATTCATGCGGCTGAGTGCGGACGGAGGAGAAAGGGCAACATTCATCCGTCCGCTGTGTAATTAAGCATACGGATAAAAGATGAGAGATTAGGAATAAGGAAGCCAATGAAAAGGGAGATGTTGATGATGAGGTTTTTATATTTAGATATGAAGGGATTTACATATCAAAGTTCAGGACAGATGCAGCTTTTGTTTCACTGTGGTTCGGTTAATGACAACATAAAGAAAACTGAGGGGAAAGCAGCTGGTATTCTCTCTTGAGGTAACATCGTTAGTAACAAAATATTGATTTTCCTCCATGGTTATTAGTTCTAATCAATACTAAATGACTTAAATATACTCATGCATAGATGTACATGCCTGCTAATATGTCTATTATAGTGGGAAATTCATCTTAAAAAGTGAAATTGGGAAGTTAATGCAAATAAACACCTTCTTGCGGCATTGATTAAACTCCTGAAAAACTCATCGCTGATTACAATGACATGAGTTTATATCTATATATATGAAAACGTCTATATTTTTTAACCTTAAAATGGCTTCAGTGTAACTCCATGTCTTCTTCCTTGAGTGTATGTAGATTCATGGAAATATATATTAGTCCCACACCTGCAGCTCAAGCACACCTGCTCACTTTTAACGCTACTCAGACATTGTAAATGTACATAAAACTACTAATATTCAACAACAAGTGAGAGTCTCAGAACAGTTTATGTGCTGCTCTCTACGTTTTTAAGATCGTAGATGACATAAACCTTCAACTTCGGTTGATTGGCTCCTTTGGTTTACTAAATATGAACCTTATCTGCAGTTTCAAGGCAGAAATCCTCTGTAACTGCACTGACGGCTCATTTTCTCACTATGTGTCTTCCAGCACATATCGACATGTCAAGAAGCTTTAACGTTATATTTTCATCTGTGAGGGTCTTTAAAATAAACACGCTGTCTCCTTTTGTAACTTGAAGCTTGACATTTTCAGTTTCAGAGTGCTCCTTCTTAACAACTGCAGCTTGAGTGAATCTGTTTTCTGTGACGCTGTGGTAATTATCCTCTTAAGGTGTCTCTAAAACCTTTTCATTATGGATGGAATGTGGCAGCATTAAGCAAAGATGGAAGAACGACTGCCAGACCTTGTATTTTGAAAAGAGAAAAAAACAAAAGCCGTAGATGAAAATGTAATCGAATGATGGATGTTATTATTCTCATTATTCACCTTGCTATATAAAATGTAGAAACATCTCAAAGACTTTTTTTGGTATTCTCTTTAAAAAAAAACATTTTTCTTTTGCATAGCTCTCCTCAATAACCTTGAAATGAGGGAATTTTTTTTTAACCGGCACTAAAGCACAAACAGCCCCACCGCCGACAGAGCGAACAACATTTAGTGTGGCCCTTCACGAAGCCATACATACAAATAAAACATGAATAATACTATTTGAAGTACACCCCCGCTGTAAATAACAACCAGAATTAGAGTCATTGGCACACACAAGAACTCCCACAGGTAGACTCTCATGCACAAACACACACACACACATGCACGGCGTTCTGGCACAGTGACAGCCATTATGCAAGAGAGCAGAGTGACAAAAACAAGCTCAGAATGAAAACAATGATGTGTGATCCCACCGCCTCCTCGCATGTTCCTCGACCTTAGACACTCTCGCCTTTTATTTTTATTTTTTGTGTAAAATCGCAATTCAAAGAAGTCACTCCGCAAACCACCATATGCCTGCGCACAAACCTGCAAACAGTCGCTTACAGAGGCATCAAATTGCTAATCAGTTGTTTACCGCTGCTGGAGTCTGACATCACAGCTTATGTAAACTTTAAAAACGGCTCTCCCCGCCTACTGTTTACCGCTACGGCCTGCAAACTGGGCGATGTACACATTGGGTCAAGATTACCTACGATGTGACCCAATTTATTACTTCATAATGTCATAAGAAATTCTTTGAATTTAAATAATTCAATTTAAATAATAATAATTCCAATTATTTTTTATTTTATTTTATTTTTCTCTGTCTGATTTTTTTTGTTTGTTTTTTTGTTTGTTTTTTTCTCTTCTCTCCTTTTTTATCTTATTTTTTATATTATGTCTATAGTATGTTCTGAAGGCTTGTTCTCTGTAAAACAAAAAGCTCAATAAATATACATTGACCAAAAAAAAGAAATGCTTTGAATAAGTAGAAAAAAATCTGCACTAATATGTAATCATGTTATTTATTATTAATTTTCTGTAAATTACCGTTGATTAACTCTTGGTAGTGCAGTTATTTTTTTTGCTATTTTGTGCAGAAGGACAATGCTTTTCGGAGATGCTGCCTTTGAATATTTAGTCCCTTTCAGATCCTTTCTACTAAGCTGACGGCAACAGAAGCTTAACGTCTGCATGAGCTGCCTGGTCACTTCGTGGAGACCTGGTAGCATCTCAGTATCGCTTTCAACACGGCACACATCTGCACGACGCAATATTCCAACCTACTTCCGAGTTGTGTGATGCAGTGAAGGCAAAGGGTTTTTCCACATATGTGCACCAACATTGGTACAAAACCATCACAGAGAGCACAGAAGACCTAGTTTGCGTGGCGAAAATCACTATTTCAAACCCATTACAGACTGAAACATGCATAAAAATGTCACTTTAACATGTTAGATTTCCAGCATGTACCATGTACCTCAGCTTCGTTTGCTGCTTCTTGCTTCCAAGCTGTTTTCCGGGTCTTTTTCCCTGAATTTATTAAACACTCAAAGAGCAGCAGGATCCAAATGAGCACCTCCAAAGCGAAAGAGTTGCTCGCATTTACCTAACTCCATTAAGTCCTTATAACTATAATTTTATCCGCGGCGTGGAGGCGGGATCGGTCGAATTCTAACGGCAAATTTACTTCATAAAGGTGAGCTGTCACACGCAGAGTCACTGCTTATAAGCTGCAGTTAAATCATTAGTTACAGAGCAGCTGGTTGAGTTTTGAGCTCCATCACAGCTTTTTTTTTTCTTCCACTAAAGTAATGGTTAGATTTTTGTCACACATGGGCAGACTTTTCAGCACTAAGGAAATCATTTAATATAATAAGTTTTGTCTTTTGCGTATCAATGCATGATTATAGATTATCTGGTCGCACAAAGCCAGACCAGTCAGATTATTTTGGCTCCTTCCATCACCGTCGTGGGTTTGTCTGAATATAGCCATGAGGAACACTAAGTGAGTCTGGAATAACAATTTAAAAAACAAACTGTATTTTTATATCAAGAATGTGAAAGGTGTGTATTTTAGTGACAAACCTACAGAGAATTACCAATCTGTCCCTTCTGCTCTCCACAGCATCTCTAAAAGCATCATTTTGGCACACAGCTGTTTTCACTCTCGTGGTGTAATTTTTAGACACAGCAAGTGGCTGTTTGATACATAAAAGGCGTAGAAACTGACTGTTGACTACCTGCCAAAGCACCAACCCGTACGGTTTGTCGAGCTGCCAGAGACATGACAGATGAATACCAATGTTGCTCTGTAACCACTGGAGCATTTGATGTTTTAAAAAAAAGTGCAGGTATATTAACACAATACTGATAACAAACATCTGCACACCAGCTGATGTCAGCCCAAGATAACAACCCAACTAAACACATGCTCATCGGGTCAATAACGAAGGTCGGTACCTGTATTCGCTGTCGGGCTGCAGGCCTGTGACAAGGTGACTTGTCCCCGATTCCACAGTGATGGTTTGGTCTTCCAGGGTGATGACGTAAGAGCTGATCTCCGCCCCGTTGCTGTTCGGCTCCTCCCACTTCAGGAGGAGGCAGGTCGACGGGGAGTGACCCGTCTCCGAGGAGGCCGGGAGGTCCAGGAGGGCCAGGGAGGACACCTGGTCCGGGTTCGTTGCCGGGGTCCGGAAACTCACCTGGTCGCTGTAGGGACCGGCGCCCGCCTGATTCACCGCCTGGGTTTGGACACAAAAACACACGGGGGGTGAGACAGATGGAGGAGATGACTGAGAGCGGCGAGACGGAGGTGGAGGTGGAGAGAGAGAGAGGGATGAAAAAGAAAGAGATGAAGACCACGACAGATAGATGAGAAGGGACGCGGGCAAAAGTGAAATGAATTGAGCAAGAGACAGAAAATAAAGGGAGAAAGGAAGAAGACAAGAAAGCCAGCAGGAGATGAATTCAAATTAGTTGTGAAAGAACATTAGTCTATTTTTTGATGCTACAACACATTTATATTCCCCTCAAGTATCCTCTATTAAACGCCTTCCCATCGCTGGTAGTAATGGTGTACTTCACTGCCTCATACAAACTTATAGAGGATGAAACAAGGACAAAAATATAGCAACGTTTCCCGAATACATTTGCTTGATTTTAAAAGCTTGAACTCCAAAAAAAAAAAAACAAGCAAAAAATTGCTTCCCAGCATTTCTCCTACTTTGTCGGCAAAATGTGCACTTTGGGGCGTTTAAAATGTTAAGATCAAGACGGAACAAAGTGTTTCTGGGGAGCGATGGATTTATTGTAATAATACAGCACTTCTCTGAACTGATGGGGCTTTTGTTTTTTAGAATAAAAACATACTGTATTTACTTACCAAGAACAGCCCAGAAAGGAGTAGGAGGAGAAATGTGCAGCCTACAACGTGTATTCACGACTAACCTCTCGACTTATCTTCGCTCTAAACTTTCTACAAACTTTAATGGTCGGACAAGAAAAATTACATTTCAGTAGTATTATTGATTTATCCTCAGCTGTCTCAACTTCGCATTGGCGAGGCTTGAAAGACATAAAGGGTTTGATTTACCCTTACGATTGGTTATTTCAACTGCTGTCAAAAAACAAAACTCACGTCAAGCTGCGCGGATGTGAAACAACGCCACGGCAAAAGAACCAGTTCATACAGGTAGAAAACACACTGGGAGTCACACAGAGTTCAACCAAGTCAGTGACTCTGATGTGATCCGGTCCTGCGGTCTTTATGAGATACAGATGAATGAACACACCGGGGCACGCTACCGGCGCACAAAGACAAATCATGTGCACGCACAAAAGCAGTGATTAGGGCATTAGCTTGACCTTGTGTTGCCCTTTTAAAATAATAAACGAGCCCATAAAGAAGTGAGCCGCAAAACATGCCCTTAGAAAATTTATAGCTTCAGAGGGTACATTAGGAGAGAGAGAGTGAGTGAGAGAGAGAGCATGACACACACAAATACACGTGCGTATATGATATAATATACATATAATTAAGCCTCTGCGCACGTGTTTGCTTTTGTGGACTCATTTTTCTCTGCAGCATAAAGTCCTGGGCTCTATGGAAAGAGCACAGAAACCTGAACGTGTTGTCTGTGCAGATACAATGCCATGAATCATCCATCCATCATCTATACACCGCTTAATCCTCACGAGGGTCATGGGGGGCTGGAGTCTATCCCAGCTGACTCAGGGTGAAGGCAGGGGACACCCTGGACAGGTCACCAGTCTATCACAGGGCTACACTTAGAGACAGACAACCAAGCACACTCACATTCACACCTACAGACAATTTAGAATCACCAATTAACCTCAACATGTTTTTGGACTGTCTGGGAGGAAGCCGTTGAGAACCCACACTGCACGGGGAGAACATGCAAACTCCACACAGAAAGATTCCGGTGCCCCCACCGGGACGCGAACCGGCGACCTTCTTGCTGCGAGGCAACAGTGCGCCACCTTGCAGCCCATGAATGAATCAGATAAAATAAAATAAATGCTAAATAAAAATAAATGCTTGATTAGTTTGTTAACAAAGAAAATATAAAACTTGCTATCAAGATGGACAACAAGTACCCACAGGTGTGACAAATGCGAGTGAAATAAAAATGTAAATACAGTCTGCAATTTAGCCCAGTTTAGAATGAATTGTTGTCATGCAAGTCAGTAGCAACATGGACTGCAGGATTTTTTGGGGTTTTTCTCAGGATCTGTTTGGTGCAAACGATGCTTTTCGGCGATCGTCTACACGAAACACGTAAAACAAAATGATTTGGATGAAATATCACAATTTTTTAGCTTTGCTGAGGTTAAGTTTTCAGATGGAACAGCAGTCACAGAGGAAAACTTTAAAGACTGTCAGTGTGTTTAAAGATCCAATGATGCTTTCTTGTGGGTGTGGCTCTGATAAATGGTGTAAGTTCAGTATTTTCCTCAGAGACAGCATGTCTTTCAAACCTGCTGGGGCTCAGATGGTTAACATATATCAGTCTTCATGCAGTTCTGTTGTATTCTGACCAAATGGTTGAGCAAACTGTATTTTGATGCTAAAGTAACATCATTTTATTAAAGTCACGTGAATTGAAACTGATTTAAATCAAGCATGTTTCAATCAGTTATCATCAGCCTTCTACTGGTCTCTGGCTGTCTGTCTGTGTTTTTTGATGGCCTGTGTTTAAGTGTTGTGTGAGTCTCTGTCTACTGCTTGTTCTCTCTATTTGTCTGTTTCTGAGCCCTTGTGTTCATTTCAAGTACACGGTAGCTTAAGCGTCCTCCCCTCTCTTGTACTGTCTGAGTACCTGTGCATAAATGCAGCACGTGCACCTGTGTGTCAGCAGGTTCCAGAGTGTATATTTCTAAGCGAAACTCAATCCAGAGCAGGTAGACACAGAACAGTTTGTGGGTTTAGTACCTGTAGCCTGCAGCAGAAATCCGTGGCAGGCGTCAGGTCTGACAGTTCACACTGCGTGGCCGATCCGCAGTAGATGAGCTCCATGGGCTCGTCTTCCCTCGCCCACTCCAAACGATATTCAGAGATGTCTGTACCCGAACCTTCAGGGCTCTGTGACACAAAGAAACACACAGTTAGCTCACAAGAAACCTCAAACTGAAAGGACTCAAAATTGAGTAAAATAAAAAAAGAACATTTGGGCCTCTTATGACATCCTTGTGTGTTCTCCGTCATTTGTCTCACCTCCCAGTTGAGCGTTACACAGGTGTTACTGGTGAGAGTGATGAGTGGCGCCCCACACTGGCCGGGAGGACCTGCTGCAGTCGTCACCTCCGTCGGCTCAGAGTACGCTCCGAACTGAGACACACAAAAACCAACACACACAGTTTGACTAAAAGATGCGACAACAACAATTCCACCGACAGAAAACGTGTCGGCTCGTTTGTTCATTTTTAAGCAAACGTGTCAAATCTTTGATGTTTCTAACGTACAAATATGAGGTTGTATGCATTTGATTTGTCACACATAACAGTGAAGTGAATATTTTTTTTGGAATTTGGATAGTGGTTAAAATCTAGCACAAGCTGGAACGAAAGCACAAATCACACTAATTGTATGTACATATGGAGTCATGTGTTTTTATAGAAGCACCAGAGCTCTACATGTGCTCTTTTTAAGCTGAATGTAGTGTTTTGTTTAATACTGTAATTATACAAAGAGCTTCCACAGCAGATTTCATGGCTATAGATAAATAACACACTGCTTGTCGAGCATAAAATGGGAATTACTTTGATTAAGTGGGTTGATTTGTACTCAAAAAGACTTCCTCTAGGAAATAATTACTTTACTAGTTGTTGTATTTTATGGCCTTGCATGGTGTTGTCTATAAGTCTTTGATCTCATATAAAAAAAAAAGCACTTCTGTTGTTCTAAATGTGTGAATAAGGGTGACTGGTAAATTACTAGCTGATGGCTCATTTACTTCTTTTACTATTATGATTATTATTGATTCTGCTGCCGTGAGCATTTGAGTTTCTCACCCCGGCCTCGTTGGCTGCCCTCAGTCGGAAGCTGTACGTGGCACCGGGTAGCAAACTAACAACGGTGCACTGCAGCTCCGAGCCGTGGTACACCTCTGCCGGCTTAGCGTCGCCCTCGCTCATCTCCAGACTGAACACAAACTCCTCACATACTCCCTCAGACACCGGGGAGTCTGAGGAGACAAAACAGAAAAAGACAAGCATTTAAGTGATCAGCTCACGATTCAGAATTATTAGGAACAGATATGATGATGATATCTTTTACACATAAAGTTTATGATAGAGAGATCACTGGGTATATTTTTTAGAAAATTGTCAGGGATTTTTGTTTCAGTTTTGCCTGCAGCAGGATGAAAATAATAAAAAAAAGGAGACAGTGGGGAAAACCCTCCAATACATTATGTCTGACCTTCAGCTGGAGCCAGTAATTGTAGCAGCGCTGCCTGAATGTGAGCTGATTAGGAATGTGACCGGCTATATTTAACTGGTTAAAAGGAAGACCTTCCTCAGCAGTGCAGGCCGGGAGACTTTCTCCTGCCAAGAGATTACAGTTCTAATCTGCAATAATGGGCCGACATTAGGAGAGTTAAGTCAGATATGAGGGTAGGTTTGGCATTTAATGGGCTAAATTAGGACTCTATTAGGCTGAAACATGGTTGACTTAGCTTACATTAGAGGTGGCCGGGGAAACGTATTAAACAGCCAGAGGGTGATTTAGCTGCCTTATATATATGTTTAAAAAAAAGAAAATTCAAACATATTTCAGTAAATAAAGCCTAACTCAGTGTACGTGTATGTCTGCACTCACCCCACTCTAACTGCACTTCCTTGTGTTTGGCTTTACCCACAATCCTCGGCGGCTGGCAGGGCCCTGGCGGGACGCTTAATGTACGGACCGGAACGCTGACAGTACACTTCAGGAGCAGAGATAAACACAGGAAGTCAAAACAAAAGCGAAGGAACTACACTATAGATTGATTAATAACTGGTAGTTACACTTGGGCACTTTGTTGATTGTTTGTGGGCAGATTGTAGAATTCGTCACATTTTTCTAACAGAGTAACACCGACAGAGAAAAGTTAACAATGTGTGGCTTTAAAGCTGCGTATGCATGTGGGTATGGTGTGTGTCGTACCGGGCTGTGTCCTCCGGTGGTGATGCTACACACACGTAGGCGGTAGTAGGTCCCAGGTGTCAGGCGCTCGCACACACATTCTGTTGCTGGACCGCTGTACGCTACATCCCACTGGCTCGCTGCACACAAAAATTATAATGACATAACCAATTACATTCAAGAACAACAACAACGAAAAATAAAAAAAATCCAAGCACATACTCCCCTGCTGCTCTATATGTACATCTACGGTTTATGTAATTGCTGTTCCAGAAACAGAACCCCATTGACCTAATTAATACCCGCTTTGTGACGCTGTTCTGTAACTGATGCATTGTGTAGGCTTGTGAAACGCAACACGCCGCCAGTGAAGCGGCTCTGCTGTCATGCAAATACTGTTTACACGGCGGCGCTGAAAGGTTTTGCGACTGTATCATGCATATGTATGGGTTATGTACTGACCAGAACATGAAGCAAAGTTCTGCTAAAAACTAACAAATGTGGCGCATTAAATAAAAAAACATTCAGTGTTCAACTATCATCATAACACCTGATAATAGGACAAATCCAGGTAAACAAAATGAGCTGGGCCATCCTTAAAGTTAACAGTTCAGCGAGAGATGCAAAAAGGTGAAAAGGACGTAGAAAAAGTAGGCAAAGGGAAGATAAACGAGGCATTAAAAAGGAAAAAAAAATGTGTGTCACCTATTTCTAAAGCTTCAGAAATTATATTTTAGCTGATCCTGAAACACAATTATGCTCTCTCTTGGTATTAACTGATAAACGCAACACTGAAGTAGCTGAAATGAATCATATCACATCCTGTCACACTGACTGAAAAGAGTAAATACGAGCTGCAGACAATGAAGTCATCCAAATGATTTCTGCTTCGCTTTCATGTTCTTAAATATTCAACACTAGTCCCAATAAAAAAAAAAATGAATTTCTCTTTCTTTTGCGTGATTGAAGAAGATACAGATTTAATAAAATGATGCTGCTATATGGACTGAAAGGAACCGGAGAACATTTGGTTTCCTGCCGTGCAGATCTGGTTAAAATCAAACAACGCTGTGCGTTAAATTGATGCTAACGAAGGGTGAATTATGGCCGCTTTCCCTCTGAGACAGAGTAAGTGAGTAAAATAGATAGATAAAGAGAACGAGCACAGCCCTGAGAGGACGAATGGGACATGTCGAGCTCCGTGTTAGAAGATGATGGACTTAGAACAAGGGTTCGGAATTAGCTGAATGTGGCGTTGATGGATGGACGGACGAACGGACTGGTACCTTCAGAGCAGCCCTCTGAGATCTCTAGCAGGTACGTAAGAGCCTCGGAGCCTCCGTTGTCCTGGGGAGGATCTGTTGGGAAAAATATCATTAATTGACTTTAATTTGGGATAATACTGCACACAGGCATCATTCTCAGGAGGCTACATGTAAGGATATTTGAAACAGGCCCTTCATTGCGTCAGGAACTGGTGCGATTACAAATTATACAAAATCTATTAATAATGCATCCTGCACACATTAGTGTGTCCATGTAGCATACAGAAAACACAATGACTCACAAACTAGCAAATTGTTTTTCAAATAAAAATCATAATTCCCCAAAAGCATCATTATCAAACTGCTATCCAGCGTTAGAGAAGCAATGAAGCCGTCGTAAGAAACGCTTTTCATTTGTACGTATACAATATTAAAGAAACCTTTCAGGCATAACTGTGAAATGATACACTTGATTTATTCTGAGATTGTAGATGAATCACATCTCCTGAAAACAACCTAATTGGCTGTGGCTTAACTCATACATATTGTATCAATAGCTACAGTTAGAAACCGATGGATGGTTCTGCTTTAATCATCAATTTGTGGCTCCTGTCACATTTTAAGCCACTATGGGCTCATTTTTCGCTGCAATATTAAGATCTGCTCCTCTATGGAAACAGCACAACCATGGGTAGAAATAGAAAGAATACAAAAATGTCTTTTGTGCAGCAAGCCACCGTTATAATGCCATAAACACACAAAAAAGGGAAAAAATAAAAGTGAAATTTTATTTCCCAACACGAATGGAAAAAACCTGAAATAAACATGTGCAACATTTTTCCCAAAGTGCCAACGGGTGTCAACAAAATTGGAAAAAATTTGACTCTAAATGCTAGAAATATTTGACGACTTGCATTTTTAATTTGTTTCCATACTTGTCTCCTATCGGTAGCAGTTAAGCCCATCATAGCTCCTCAGTTGCTTTTAGGAGCTCAATCATTTTCATATTTTACACAATCCGGTTGGTGCACCTGGTTTATTTTGTGCAAATTCTTAAATGAGGCATGTAAAATAAAGTAATTCTGATAAAATAGCACAATTTTAAGCTTAGATTTGGTCATGTAATAAGTACAAGGTCCGTAGGAAAGCTGAAAAACTAACAATTCTCCCTGTTTTTGCAGTTTCCAGCTCTGATATAAGCTGTAATTTTGACAATTTTAACAAAAATAATACGCCTTTCAATGCTGCCGGCAGGCTTTGGGGTTCAGAATGTTGATACGGATAATAGCATGTGAAAAAAAAATCACACAACTCTAGTCAAGAAAATGGTGTAGCTCTCTAAATCTATGCTGTGTCCATCGCTGAATAGGCATTTAGAGACATACAGTAAGATGTGCTTCATGTCTGCTACTTCCTGCTTGAAGGATGAGTGCGCTTGTCTCCAAAACTTCACCAAATACGAGTATCAAAATGTTAAAAATATGACTCCACAGAGCAGAAAACAATGATTCTTTTGGATCCAACAGTATGTTAGTGAGTGGACATGCACACGTCCATTTGCATGTTTTAATAACAGAACATGAGTTTTGAAGTGTTGTGTTTGTTTACCCCATGTGACAGTAAATCCGCAGGGTGTAGGTTCGGTGACACAGGGGGTAGATGGAGGGCCGGGTTTGTCTGGATTGGTGGTGCACACCAACACTTCGCTGGGACTGCTCTTTCCCTCCATGTTTGACGCTATGAGCTGCAGGGAAGAGAAACAGACAGAACGGAAGGTTAAAGACGGGTACAAGATACGACGAAGGCAATAAAGGTCAGAGAGGGTGAAGAGGAAGGTGACAAGAGGACACAAAGGAAGGATGGTACGAAGCACAAGCAAGAGAAATGGAGGAAATAAGGTGAGAGGAGAACACACCGAGGAATCTATCAAAAAAGTGCCGTAATTGTGCTGATTAATAGGAGCCATTACTCTCTGCTCCTTCACCTGTGGTTTCTCCTGACTCCTCTGTCATCATTTCTCTGCGGTTTACTCCCTCCATTACCCCATCCCATGGACAATCAATTTGCTTTGTTCCCAGATGTTCACACCGCATGAACAACAAAAAGAACACAGACGGCGGGTGATCATGTGTGTTTGTGTCTTGGAGCATCTAACAGCGCTGTGTGTGAAAGTACATGTAAGGTCCGGCTTGACATGATTGCACCATAATACCCATGCAAACACACTTAGAGAGGTCTGCTGTGGGTACATTTTGTCTCACCATGTCCTCACATTAGGAACTGTTATGATCATGTTTTTTTTTTTTTTTTTGCAGAGCCGGACAGCGTTCTCCACTTGATAAATGGCTCGTGAATTGCCTTGTTTCACAACTGCTCAAATTGCAGCCAATTCTCTGGTGGCAAAATGCCGCATTCATTCCTTAATCATAGATGTTGAATTATCACTGAAAGGCACCTGGATGGGTTTGTATCCTTGGAAACATTTTTTTTTTCTATTTAACTGAAATGGACTTCAGATTGATCAAACAAGACGCCTGAAGAGAAGGCACACGGGATGTGTTAAGTTTTAAAAGATGCACTCAATATCTGAAATGAAGAGTGGTCAATCAATAGCAGTAATTATTGTAACGTTTTAATCTATTTTGAATGCAATGTTTTTGGGGTTTATCAAATTTGTTATCTACTGTGTGTGTGTGGGTTTTTTTTGGTTTGAAAAGTCCACACAAAGTAAAACAAGGAAGAAAAAAAAAGACCAACAACATGCTTTAATCATTCAAAAATAATCAAGCTGTAAGTCGACATTCACTTGTGGCCTCTCAAACTATTCAAACTTTGCTCTCCTGAGGGAAAATCCACCGTTTACCTATTATGCCATAATCTACTTTCCACTAAAACTACTCAAATTACAATGTGCTGAAAGGTTACAATGAATTTTTGGTCTAATAAATTCCTTAAATACTTGCCTACTTCAGCTTTAATGTGTTCTACATCTTGCTTGTTCAATCTAAGTGTGAACATCTCATGCTTTAGCTACGCTAAACATCAGCCAGCCACATATTTAGTGTTGACTTTATAAGCTAGCTATGTCAAAAATGTCTAATTATTCTTTTGAAAAAGTAGAAGACAGCTGCAGTCATATGCAATAACTCGATCATCACTTTCCATCTCCATGAACCCTCTGATTCCACAAGTACAGCACTGATGTGCAGAAACTCTTGCATCCACGTCACGTTGCCACTTACCCTGAATTTATACTGTGTACTCCTCTTCAGGCCTTGTACAGTACAGGTCAAGTTTTCTCCAGTGTACTTTGGATGAAAGTCTGTTCCCTGTGGGAGACAAACTGTCAGTGGTCTGTGTGTGTGTTTGTGTGCGACAGGATGTATTTGCATTAAAGTACACTTTGGAGCATATGGATGCAATAAATGTTGACTTTTATGCTGATTTTATATGTTTTTAGAGATATATGTGTGTGTGAGAGAGAGGAAGAGTCTGAGAGAGCATCTGGTGTAGTTTCTAAACACAATATATGCTTCTTTGTGTATGCTTCTGTATTATAGGACTTACAGCTCTGTGTCTGTAATACATTTACCCAAACTCTTCTCACTGGATTATGGATTTACTTTTCAATATTTGCTCATAATGCTTTATCAACATGCATTGCTTTCTGAGTGCGATAGTTGTATTTTCTCTTTTATTATTACTTCCTGAGGGATTCCACTGACTGACATCTGCAGCAAAATAAAACACAGCCCTGATATAGAAGCATAAACTGGACACAATCTAATAATAAAAGGCAAAAACCAAACCATGGTTTTACTGAAAGATAAGACATCGTACCTTCCACTTTCTGTGAGGTTTTTTGGACATGTCATAAAAGTTAATGTGTGGTACTCACGCTGTTGTCCTCCTGGATCTCGAGTGTGTATTTGAGCTGCTCCTCGCTGGGACTGCCCTCGGGACGCCCCCACTCCAGGGTCACCCAGGACACCCCGGCCCTGACCAACCGCGGTGCCAGAGGCAGAGCGGGCAGAGTGCCCATGGTGTAAAACACCACCTCCGTACTGAAGCCACTGCACGAAAAAAAAACACATTTCCATTTCGTTCACATTTGGTGTTTTCATTTAAAATGCTGAAGCGAATGATTGACTTGTGCAGCAGGCGGGAGACGCCGTGTGTGTCATGAATCACAAATGCAGCAGCAAAGACGGAGAGGTGAGCATTTTTTAAAGAAGTGACGGTTGGAGAAAGTGCTCATTTGACGGGAGTGTGGTTGCAGGTGATGTTTGGAGGGGAGGGAAAGACGGACGGCTTGTGTATGTGTGTGCAGAGTATGTTTGCGTGCCCACGACTCCGAATGTGAACCAAGCTGAAGGATGTGTTCAGGCCGCTTTGAGTTCATCCAGAGAGCTAATATCCCCCTCGCTCTCGCTCCCCTGAATCACCTTCTTCCTTCCCCTTGTCACCCTAACGACTGCAGGCAAGATGCTCCCCGCCATAATGACAAAGAGGAGAGGAGGAATGGAGGGAAAATGGGAAAGAGGGAAAAGGGCTCATGTCACATGCAGAATAATAGCTTCAGATAGGTCGGTGCATGTTTGCGACTCTGTCTGCCATCACGGTGGTGTAAGAAAAAGACCTGTGCTGCTGGATTTATGAGGATGTGTGCGTGAACACATTTTTCGCAGTGTGAATACGTGGCATATGTGTTTGTGTATTCAGAAACAGGCGACATTACCTTGTGCCAATGTCGTTGTGTGCAGCCACTCTGAACGTGTACCCACAGGCGGGGAACAGTCGTGTCAGCTTACAGTGTCTCTGGCTCCCAAAGTAACATTCTCTGAAAACACTGTTCTTCTTTCCCTGCAGAGGACAAATGAACAAAAGACAAAGAAAAGACAAGAACACGGGGGTAAGATTGGTAAGATTAGTTGCGATATAATTTTAAAAATGAAGAAAAAACAGGATGACAAAGTGACAAAGTATGACCGGGAGTAGAAGAAGAAGAAAGCCAGCTATTGATTGGAAAAGCATAATTCACAATCTTATTACATCTTGTCTCGAGGAACCGAGTGTTAACATCCCCTTAGCGACATCTGGAAGTGCTTTTTTGAGGTGACGGTAAAGTATGACGGATGACGGACTCGGCGAAAGACAGACTTACCTCATCCCACTCGAGAAGGTAGTTTGTGATTTTGGATCCGTTGTCGCCTGGGGGCTGCGGATGACAGAGGAAATGGACCGCATGAGGCAGACAAGAGACAAGAGAGAGATTGAGAGATTAGCCCAAGATAAAAGACTTTGACAATAAGATGGAGAAAATGCCTGCTGTGTTTTTATGATTGGCCTCATATCCTGTCTGGGTGACTGATGTCACTCTTTATCAGTGACAGTGTGAGTGGATCAAAATTACTCAGTAAAAAGAGAAGGTCAGGGAGGACACAGGGATGCACCCTGAAGGCATCGCGCAACAACGCAAGAATGTCTATTAGTTGCCTCGGGGCTGGTAAAGTCAAGGCAGGAGGTAAACCAGGTGAAGAAAGTTTTGTTTTTTCCAACTGTGCAACTAATACTTTGTAGAGATGGACTCAGTGGGGTAATCTGACAGAATGCAAGTTGAATAATTTGTCAATCTTTTAATAGAATTAAGATTTATTTGAGCATCAAATCTAATTAAAACATCATAACATGAAAGTATCGGGACCATTCTTGCAGTGAAAATGATTTATGAGTATCTTCCTGATAATGATCTAATTTAACCCATGAAACCCAAAACCCACCAGCAGGTTTGAAAGGCATGTTTTTCTGAGTCAGAAACTCTAAAAACCAGATTTTTTAAAACATTTTTCAATTTTTTTTTTCGAATTTTGGGACAGGAAATGAGCCTAACATTGTGATATTTCATGAGGACTATCTGGACATGAGGATGTCTGTGCCTGTACCTTCCACTGTAGGGTGAGGGTGCTCTTGGTGCGGTGGGAGAGCTTCGGGGTTAACGGGACATCAGGGACGCTGCAGTGTGTGGTGAAGGAGCCGGCCTCTGAACACGAGCCTCGAACCGAGTTGTACATTGCCGACACCCTGACAAAGACACCAAATATTTCAAAGGTGTTTTTAAAGCAACAGGATTCCTGGTCCTGCATGACTTGAAGGTTCATTCAAGAGAACTGGAATTTAATCAACCTAAAATCCTAATAACAATACAAAGACTCCTTACCGTACGTGGTAGTCTGTCGCTGGCCTTAGGTCTTTCAGATGGTATTCCAATTCTTCCCCACTGAAACACACACAAAGACGAAACACAAAAGTCACACAGGTGTGCTTCTGATGAGCTTTTTTGTTGCTGACGCAGTATTCTTCCATCTTAGAGGACATGTCGTACCTGTATATGGGACGATACTTTCCGTCTCGCCCCTTATCCGAGAGAGAGACCTCATAAGAGCAGGAAACAGGCATCCCGTTACTGTGCCTGTTCACCAGCCCTGCTGGGGGGGCCCAGGATAGCCGTGCAGCCCGTGCCTGAACATTAGACACCTGTAAAGACACAAAGAAACACACAAACTGTAAGTTATACACACAACTAAAGCCCAAAACGTTCACCATTTATACTTTTTTGTGACAATTAATTCAAACAGTTTGTAAAATATAATGATCCTTTTCCTTCTATCTAATCCTCTTCTACTGGATTTGATTTTATTCAGATGTATATTGATCTGTTCTATTCTACTACAGGCAGGGGTAATTGAACTCCCATAAATATGTAAAACTGTTCGACCAAACTGAGTATTTTGCAATAGTTTTGAATGTGCACGTATTCTTGTTTGACTCTTCATGCACATGTGTGTGCATCAGGGTAAAGCCATGTGCAAATGAAACCATCACTCCAGATGTTTGAAGCTCAGACACATTGACAACATTAACATGAAAATTTTAACCGACTAACCCAAACAAGAAACCATGTTTGTGTCTGCCTGCAAGAGCGTTCATGTTGATGGAAGTTTTAGTTGCACCAAATGGTGGGTGAGCCAATTTGGCACGATTTAGTGCAATCTGCTGCCATCCCAGACATAATATCCACTAAATATGTGCCCTGATGTCGAGGCGAACCACAACCAGGGCCAACCAGTCTATGAGGAACAGAGACAAATATCGTTCGTCATTTATTAAGAATCTGGATTGCAGCTATTTGCTTTTACGACACCACATCACCGTGTCTGCGACCTGTATGAGAACACCTGTGTGTCTGGTGGACTTTACGACTGACTGAGTCCACCTTTTCCCCTCTAATTCTATCAATCTTTTTTGCTTATATGAACACAGCAGACTATTATAATGCCATTACTTGCAAATATTAAATCACTGCATGCTTTTATGCATCAACAGCTTGATGTGCAAGGACACAGGGTGCATTCTAATACCCATACTACCTGGCTATATATTATGTCTGAGAAAGAACATTGAAATATGTAGCGTGTCAAACGGCCACGCTGACCCACAATCCTTTGCATAGCAGACATTACGTCACATACATCACTGTGCCTCGTGCGAGTATAAACAAGCTCGAGCCGTCGAGAGCGCACAGACAGATGACAGCTCATTACATACTTCAGACTGCAATGAATGTTTGAGCAAAAAGGTCAGCGCTTTAGGTGCAGTATTCTGATGAAACTGTATGTACGCATATGCCAAAGTGTGTACGTAGGGCAGCTGCAGCGCAGAGTGGAAGAAAACAAGTTAAAGGTATGCAATGCAGGAACAGGAACAGGCAGAGACAGGTTAAAAGTTTAAGACGATTAAAGCTGTTAATGTCACTAAACCTTTATTCTCACTCTATAGGAGCATCTGAAGCATGCAGATACTTTGCACCGTGTTAGCATCGAGGCAAAGAAGTCAGGTGTAAAATTGAATACTGAAGGGGCTCCGAATCCTCATACTGTCAGTTTGCCTTTTTTGCCAAAGGACTGTAAAGGTCCCACATCATTTAAACATTATTATGTTCCATCTTAGTATCTGTTTAGTCATGTAAATTAACCTCTACAGTCACATTGTCCCAAGTGATATTTATTTGATAAGTTTTACCCAAAACGTCTGCGTTTTGAGGAATATAGACATTTACAAGCAAACAGCACAAAATATCCGCAAGGCTTTTCTCGAAAGCTAAAACTTTTCCCAGTATTTATGGTGACAGATGTTTGTTTCTTCGGTGACCCACAGTTTATTTATTTTCTACCCTCCTACATAAGTGGAGTGCCCACCACAGCTGTTTGTGAGTTCTACACAAAGAGATCAGTGTGGGGAAATTGCTTTTGATGATACATATTGTAATTATGTGAAGGTGTCTTTAGGCATTAATCAGTCTTTGCTCTGTCGTATGAAAACATAAATATGAATATTTCATAAGTAAAACCGTTGAGTAAACATCACGTGCATGTGGATGTAGTTTGTGCTTTTAAGAGCATCCAGGTCATTTGAGGCAAAAACTGTTGAAGCAAATTATTCCTTTTCCTTGTTTTCTCTCTCTCACTCCTCCATCGACTCCCATATTTCAGCTGAGCTGAAACTGATTAAATTTATTGCTATAAGAGCAAACAGTATTATGAGATTTTGTTTTAATGTTTTCTCATAAAAGCTCTTCCTCTGCAACACCTACCACCGTACAGCTGAAATCCATCAAGAAGCACATTTGCTGTTTGTCTGTCTCTTTATATGCACTTATATCAAACTAGTGCCTTCTATATAAATGCATTACGGTAATAGACAGCGACAGTACATTACATCTGCAGTTTATGAGACAAAATAGCAATCAGTGGCACAAGGAAATCTCTGAATTGTTCTGCTCCTTCTTTCCTTCCGCTTAGTGCTTCATCTCAGCCTCAGCTATAATAAACGGAATCAGTTTAGAGATCATCCAAGGTTATGTGAGCAGATAAATCACTACTGTCTTCCATGTGTCTCTCAGCATCCTTTTAAAACTACATTTCCTCCATCTTTCACTACTCCATTATCACTATCTGTTTTAACTCCTTGCAGATGTTAAATGGTCCAATTGCACAGCCCGCTGATCAAACTGCTTCAAACTGGAAGTGAGCAATTCCTCGCTGCCAAACCATGTCTGCATGGCACCGGCTCGTTCATTCACATACCCCTTGGGGCAGAAAGGAAAGAAAAAAAAAAAAGCTGTTACAGTGTTTACACCGTTTTTCATCTGATGGAAGCACGGTGGGAAGTGAAGGTTAAGATGAGCAGATGCTGCCCTCGTGTGGCCGCAGAAAGCACAGTTTAAATTATCTGTTACCAAACCTTTGAAACCCACACAAAAAAGTAAGAGATACACTGCAGACACAAGTCACAGCAGTTATTATGATTAGTGTGCAAATTTGGATTTCCTGGGAATAACTGAGACAAGATAAAAAAATGTGGAAAAGACATTAATACTCATGCCAGCTATGACTGCATCAGACAAGGAGGTGATTGATGATAGTGGTTAAAAAGCGTGTGTGCAGTTGTGGGAAGAGGTACGCATACCAACCTGTGGTTTGTCGATTGTAGACAGCATGTCTTGAACACGCTTCCCCTCTGAATCATGATCTGAGGAGGCAGAAGAAAAACAAGAAATAAATAAATATGGGAATATATTTCCAATGCAATATTCAGCAAAGAAGAGAAACTGTGTTTGTGTAACATGTGGGGTGAAGTTCTGACGGCTCTTGTGCCACATGCCGAGCCATAATTGCAATCTGTGTATAAAGTTTCTACATTTCTGAATATGCTTTTTAATTAAAACTGCAAAAAAAGAGAGAAAGATAATTTCACCATCCCCAAGTTACAAAACAGATGCACATTAGCAATTTTGGCAGCGATGCTGAAAACGCGGCTGTTGATTGACAAGACGAAGATTTTCATTTCCCACAGGCCATGTTATTGGGATATCTGGAAATCTATGGCTCATTACTCTCCAAGGGCAGCCAAAGTTTGCATCTAGACTGAGGAAGCCGTAACGGCGAAAAACTCAGCTAAAATGCGTTTTCAATTCCCTAAATCAACCCTAATATTGTCCATGAGCGTATTCCGTCCAACTTGTAATTCAGTCATCTGTGAAAATAGAACAGAAATAGCCCAAAAATAGAGTAAAAACAGACCTAGATTCTTTAGAAAGTGTGTTGTCTCATGGTGTGTGATGCAACACTTGTTTTCCTGAACAACTGCCTATTTCATCTCATCAAGTCATGATGAACACAGCTCTTCGGAAAAAAAAAAAAAACCTCACTAAATAATCCAGCGTTCCACAGAAAAGCATTAGTCACGAATTCCTGACCTAGAGCAAATAAAATGGGGTATCGTGAAAAAAATAAAATAAAATATGACTCATGTTCCACAATGACTGCTCTGCTCATGTACATGGAAACTGCTGATTATCTCTGGAGTCATTAGTTCATAGAAACCATTATCCTAATCATTATTATGTATCATTTTCAATCAATTGTCCCTACACCTGCGAATAATTACTCACAGAAACATCTGACGTCAGCTGCTGTTGTAGACCTGCAGTACGGCTCATTACGTGTGACATGAAACTGAACACAATGCCATATGGAGGTGATGAGAGCGTTGCTATGATGCTTTGCTAAATCTCTCGGATACATAGAAAATCTGGATTAAACTATTTGCCTGAGAACCATCCATCCATCATCTATACACCGCTTAATCCTCACTAGGGTCATGGGGGGCTGGAGTCTATCCCAGCTGACTCAGGGTGAAGGCAGGGGACACCCTGGACAGGTCACCAGTCTATCACAGGGCTACACTTAGAGACAGACAACCAAGCACACTCACATTCACACCTACGGACAATTTAGAATCACCAATTAACCTCAACATGTTTTTGGACTGTGGGAGGAAGCCGGAGAACCCGGAGAGAACCCACGCTGCACGGGGAGAACATGCAAACTCCACACAGAAAGATTCCGGGTGTCCTCACCGGGACGCGAACCGGCAACCTTCTTGCTGCGAGGCAACAGTGCTACCAACTGCCCCACCTTACAGCCTTTTAACTGTCGTGAGCGGGAGTCGAACCCACGACTGCTGCGTCGGGGAACTATAGACCCTGTTCACGGGTCGCCTTAGAACCACTTAACCAAATATTAATATATATATATACTTTTACCTTTCATACAATATATTTAACCAAATATAGCTGTGAATAATAGCAAATAACAGTAAATATAACCTTTTACAGACACTGAGGATGTAATTATGATACACACCTAATGACAGAGTAGGAAAAAAAAGGTGTTGTGTCATATTATCATGCACTGTGTGTTTTACAGATTTGAAAGGCAATGCTTAAACCCTCAATTAGCTCACATTCAGGAAATTAATTCAGTGCTACTTTGACGGTCAATTTTTCATTGACGGTCTTTATTAAGTTAAAACGTATGAACGGTTATTGCTCCTCTTTATGAAATATGACACAAAGCATATGAAGCTCTCTAGGAGACAGTGAAAGGCGCTATTTTCTGACATTTTATAGAGAAATATCAACTGCTTAATTGAAAAAAAATAACCGAAACAACACTTGATTGTAAAAATAATGAACAGCTGCAGCCCAAAAAGTCAATAGAGCAACTGATTAGGCATAAAGACATCATAACGTACAGTGAGCTGGGCTTTTCCTTCTAGTCCACAGACTGATTGCGTCATAAGATTGCAGGAAAGCCCCTCTTGTGAGACTGTAAATGTTCCACATACACATATGGTATAAACACATCCACAGGTCTGGCCCACTGACACACGTCTAAAGGTGATTTAGTGGACGCTGGAGGTTGTTATGAGGGCGAGCGCAAGTGAATGTGTGCGCACATGTGTGGGTAATGGAAGTCTTTCCTTCCCCCCTCGTGTGCATGATCCCCAAAGTTGAGGATTTTCCGACCAGAGGAGACCTGCTTTCTCCATTTGAGCTCTAAATCACACAGGATGCACACGTGTGAATCTGGTCAGAAACACAAGAACTGTATCAAACTACTGCGTTACACCACCGTGGAGAAACACACGGCTGAACATATGCGTTGACATTAATGCAGATGTATGCGCACACATGCAAGGGATTGTGTTTTAAAGTCGGGACAGACCGATTATCGCGGCCGATATTTGACTTTTCTTCTGATTGTTGGTGTGGGCATTTTTATTGCGCGGTTATTGATAAATTTAATTTGCTGACGCATTCTGAAGTCTCCGAAATGTCTCTCAAGCTGAGGCTAACAAAAAAAACACAAGCCGCTGCCACAAACCAGGAAATGAACTACTTTCACTAAGGCCATGCTACCGGCTAGTGGCTAAGTTAGGAGGCAGCCACGGATTATAATGATTTAAAATCTGGACTTCAGTGGGCAATAAAAGTGACAGAAAAGTGAAAGATTAAGAAAATAAAGAACAACCGCAAACGTAACTGGAGGAGACAAACTGATCCATCCCAGTCGATGCCACGTAAAGAAGAAGAGAGTCCTAATTTAATCATTTCTATTTTACATATTCACTTATAATCACGGGCTGCAGGGTGGCGCAGTTGGTGCCTCGCAGCAAGAAGGTCGCCGGTTCACGTCCCGGTGGGGGCACCAGAATCTTTCTGCGTGGAGTCTCCATGTTCTCCCCGTGCAGCGTGGGTTCTCTCCGGGTTCTCCAGCTTCCTCCCACACAGTCCAAAAACATGTTGAGGTTAATTGGTGATTCTAAATTGTCCGTAGGTGTGAATGTGAGTGTGCTTGGTTGTCTGTCTCTAAGTGTAGCCCTGTGATAGACTGGTGACCTGTCCAGGGTGTCTCCTGCCTTCACCCTGAGTCAGCTGGGATAGACTCCAGCCCCCCCGTAGTCCTAGTGAGGATTAAGTGGTGTATAGATGGATGGACTTATAATCACCCTTATTAATAAAGAAGCCTAGTTATGAATCACAGCTATCACATGCTGTTAAGACATTATGCATATTGGGTCCAAATATTATCTATCTGCCGTTCTTGATCACCAATAATTAGCATTGGTATTATAACGCCCATTCACACACACACTCACACTTTGGGGTTCAGTGTCTTGCCAAGGACACTTTGGCATGAGGGAGTCGGGGATCGAACCTGCGATTAGCGGGCAACCCGCTCCGCCACCTGAGCCACAGCTGCCCTGCATGAGCGCGATTGTGCCTCTGACAGACTCCATGGAGGAGAGGGCCTTACTGTGCCTGGGGGCACTATGAGTCATGGCAACAGTGATGTCATGGAAGCACAACCTCAGTTTGACCTCCCTGTGTGTGTGAGGTGTGTGTGTTAGAATAGAAAAAGCAAGAGCAAAAAAAAAAGGAAAAAAGAAGGGGACCGAGTGTGTGTGTGTGTGTGTGTGTGTGTGGGTATCAGGTTACAGGAGATTGGTGATGGGCGATAGGAGGAGGGGAGTTAAGCTACTGTGTGTGTGTGTGTGCTGGCAGCGCGGGTAGAGTTCAACAGGTGAAGTACACATTCTGCATCGCTGCTCGACACATTGGCTCATTAGCGCTCCCGCTTTCTTTTTTTTTTATGCATACACTTGTCCTCTTTCATCCATTTGGACAAAACAGGACTTTTTCTCTTTTATGGCATAAAAAGCAGACTCATAGCTCCAGACATGAACCGCTCTGTCAAATAACAGGCTGACCCAGCTTATTCCACCCATTCATCACAGCTGAGTAAAGAAAAGAAAAAAAGAAAGGAGAATATGGTCCACTTAGAGCTGTGGTCCTGTAGCTACTTGTTCAGTTAAGAGCCCTCAGATGGGAAGAGTTCCTCTAACAGCATCTGTCCAGAGTTTGGTTAAAAATCCAGGTGAAAACCCTTTGAGATATCATCCTTTTTGTGGCTTTTTTTTAAGTTATTTTGTTTTTACTGGAGTGAATAAAATTAAGTCAGGTATAGATTCTCCACTTGTTCTAAAGTCTCCCTTGTGAGCAAACTGCATCAGTTGAGGAATTCAGTGAAATATGGTGGAAAGTTTTGCAAATCCGTGCTGCCTCCTACGAAAAAAGAAGAAACCCACAATAATAGAGACCTTTAATTAATATAACAGGCTATACGTGTTTTAATTATTTAATTCCATAGATGCATTCAATGCCTTTTATATTCCAATGTTTCACACATAACACTCAACACCCACTGCTTATATACTGCTTAAGGAATTTCTTCCACCTAAAAATTAATATTTAATAGCACTAATATTTTAATTGTGGTTTGAAACTGTAAAAATGTGCAACATAATCTTGAACCCACTGAACTTCAAACCCCACCGGCATCTTATTGTTCACCAAACTACAATAACGGGAACTATCATCAGTATCAATGTTCTGCCAGCCCTTGAACCGACTCATCATTCTGCCTGAAAGCGAATCCAAGCTTGAAATTTGATTGTCTTTTGAAAACTCTTGTTTTTCTCTGTTTTATTATTTATGGTATTAGAACTTTGCTGAACTGAGCTCTCTCTCCTTCTACTCATGGCTGGGCTGTGTCCATATATGTGACTTTAAATTGCAGTAAAAAATGAATCCACAGTGAGTAAAAATACAAAAAGAGCTGCTC